TATTCCCCATTCCTCCCTCCCCCAGTTCCTGCCAACCACCATTCTATCTTCTGTCTCTATAAATTTGACTACTCTAGATAACTTATGTAAGTGAAATCATATAGTGTTTGTCTTTTTGTGACTGTCTTGTTTCATTTAACATAATGTTCTCAAGATTCATCCATGTTGTAGCATGTGTCAGAATTTTCTTTCTTTATAAGGCTGAATAATATTCTATTCATGTCTAGACCATATATTGTTTATCCATTCATCCTCAGTGGACACTTGTGTTTCTTCCATCTTTTGGCAATTGTGAATAATGCTGCTATGAACATGGGTATGCATATATTTCCTTGAGACTAGGCTTCCAATTATTTTAAATATATACCTGGAAGAAGAATTGCTGGATCATAATAGTAGTTTTATATTTAGTTTTTGAAGAACCACCATACTGTTTTTTCCAGAGCAGCTGGAAAAAACCTCCTTACTGTCAACCCACCAGGATTCCAATTTCTCCACATCCTCACTTCAAAAATGCTTATTTTCTGCTTATTGGCCATCCTAATCAGTGTAATGTTGTCCTTTATTAAATTTAACTAAATTCAGACATTAACATTACTAAATAGAGCTAAGCCTGTTGTACACGTGGGAAGAGCCATAACTCAATTTTTGCTTAAGTAGCTTCTTCTTCTTTTTTAAAAAATGTATTTTTAATTGATTTCAGAGAGGGAGGGAGAAGGAGAGAGAGAGAGAAACATCAGTGATGAGAGAGAATCATTGATCAGCTGCCTCCTGCACACCCCTTACGGGGGATCGAGCCCACAATCCAGGCATGTGCCCTTGACCAGGAATCGAACCTGAGACCCTTCAGTATGCAGGTCAAAACTCTATCCACTGAGCAAAACCAGCCAGGGCAGCTTATTCTTTTTAAAATTTATTTTTAACAGTGAGATATGTGTTATGTAATAACACATTTTAAAATACAATTACCTCACACTTAGGAGTCTATTCATTTATTGCTGAGCATAACAAACTTAGTGCCTTAAAACAACAACAATAATTGACAATCAATCATTTAGCACAGGAATCAATGATCTGTGCAAAGTCTCTGCAGTGGATGTGTGGAGGCTGGAATATTCTGAAGACTTGCTCACTCACATGTCTAGTGGTGGATGCTGGCTGCTGGCTGGAACTCCAGTCAGCTAGGACTATGGTCAGAAATGCCTACGTTGGGCCTCTCTAGGTAGGTGCTTGCCTTCCTCACAGCATGGTGACTGGGTTCCAAAAGGAAGTGTCCCTAGAGAGAGTTAAGAAGCAATTACATTATCATTCATGTTCTAATCTCAAATATCACCTGGTGTTCCTCTTGCTGTACTCTATTATTAAAAGGTCATAAAGGCTCACCCAGGTTCAAGGGTGGAGGCTTAGACTCTACCTCTTGATAGGGGACTTGCAAGGTTCTGGAAAAGCATGTGCAATGAGAGGTATCGTTATGGCCATTTCTGGAAACCACACTTTGCCGTACTTAGTAATTTGCTACTAAACCAGGCAACTGTATGCGGAAGCATCTTACTCTAACACTAAAAATAGTTACGTTTAGTCTAGCGATAGACTACAGACACTTGGAATTTTTTGTGTGCAAAAATTGTCCTCTATTTACATATCTATATATATAAAAGCCTAAGTGACCATTATGGCAGAATGACCGGAATGACTGGTCGCTATGATGCGTACTGAGCAGGAGGCAAGTGAGAGGTTAGGGATGAGCGGTCCTGGATTGTGAGAGGGATGTCCGACTGCAGGGATCGGGCCTAAACCAGAAGTCAGACATCCCCTGAGGGGTCCTGGATTATGAGAGGTCAAAGCCGGGGGGGGGGGGAAGAGGGGGAGCTCCCCCCCATGCACAAGTTTCATGCACCGGGCCTCTAGTGTACAAATAGAGTCTGTCTGTCTATCTTGTCCCTGTTCTATGGCCCTCATGTAGGATTTGCAGGCCCAAAGGAAGAGTGTAGCTGGAAGACCACATATCACATATATAATAGTTTCAAATCAAGTTAGCAACATGTTCAGTGGAACTGTTTCTATTTTCTTACCTTGACACATGTTTCTTCATAACAACCTGGAAGGTCAGATTTTAACTTAGAATTTTGGAAGCCCACATTCTATGTCAAAATTGATTGGAAGAGACTTCCCTTGACTGCTGGACCTTGTTTTCTTTTCTTTTCCCCTTCCCAGCTCCATCCAACACATTGAAGGACCTCAGACACACACATGAGGACAACCCAGGTTGTGTCCAAACCTCAGCTACAATCCCATACTTCAAGAGACTGTTCTTTGGTCACCCCTCATGGCTAGCAGTGCAAATATCAGAGCTGTAGACCACCTCCCAAAAGATGAGGCATGGAAAGTGCCTGTGTAGACCTTGGGAGCCTACATGGCATCTGGGGGCCATTTGTATAGGGCATTCTAGGGTCTGAAGCTGACTGAATGAGATCTAAATGTGGGGACGCTGGCTCTGAGTGACCATGTCCACTCTACCCATTCACATAGGATGGAGGAGGGCCAGCGCAGGGCTCTCTGAAGCTCAGGAAGCAGAGCCTGGAGCCTGGTCCGAGGGTAGTACTTGTGGGAAGGTAGGAGAGAGAGCAGTGCTGCTCTCTGTTCTGTCCCTCGCCCTGGGCTCTGTTTAAAGTGTCATTGTGCAGCCCTCTTTAATCGTCCCCCATTTCTTCTTTCAATCTTTTTTCTTTCTTTCTCCTCTTTACTTCTCTTTCCCTTTTGTCTTTTACCTCCCTTTTTATTTTCTATTTTCTTTCTAGATCTTCCTAACTCCTCTTTTTTTTTTTTTTTTTTAACTTTTGTGACACCCTGCCCTCAGTTAAATGCTGGGACTTTGCTAGAGGGCTTGTTGTGTGATAACACCAATTGCTGGGACTGAGGTGGCTCTGCCCCCATGGTGATTCCCGGTGGTTGGAGCCTGAGCGTGCGTTTTGGTGTGGCTGATACACTGCTCAGAGTTGGGGCTTTAAAAACCAAGCTTTGTCATACAGGAGCCATTTTATTTCAAGGTAACTAAGAAATGATTTGCCCTCTTAACCTCTAACATGCAGGAGCAAACAACTTTTATTAGAATCGGTGACACTTGGAGAGGATGTTTCAAAAGAGTGAGTCAAAGCTGTTTGTATCTTGTGAAAAACATTCTTTATCCTGGTTTTCAATTAATTTAATTTAACTATCTTACCAGTGGCTTTGGGTCCAGTTCCAATTGGTCTCTCCAAAACTAATATAAACAGAATTAATTACTTCACTATTCACCTCCTTTTCTCCCGTCAAGCTTCCTTTTCGGCTTGAACTATTTTGCTATCGTATACCTAACAATTTATTTCCTGCTCCACAACTAAAGGTTATTTAGTTTCTACTGGATTCATACACCCTCCATGTCCAGATGGGTGATGCTAATTGGTAACAAAAGTACATATTCCAATCAATTGCATTTTATGTCATTATCTTCGCTGGCAAAATTATAAAGCCTAAATGCTGTCATACACCTTCCTATATAAAAATGAACAAATAAGAAACAAAGTCATATCTGGGCAAAAACTCTTCAATATTAATCAAAGAGCAAAACATGTTAGCTTCACCATTTTTCCATTTAGATTTTAAACTGGGCAGAAGCTTCTGGAGTCTATAATTGCTTATATCCAGAATCTCTGGAACACAGTGGATATTCAAGACTCAGGGCACTGAAAAGTGAAAAAGAAAATTGATATAAAAATAAATCTAACTATCAACCTCTAATCCCCAAAGGGATAATATAGACTTTGAGAAGTTAAGCATGGAAGCATTGGGCCATTACAAAATGTTTCAATTTTTCTGATATGACCTGCCTCATGAATTTTAACTTTTGGTTACTTTTGAGATGTTATGTTTTTTTCAACAAATAATACTTATTCTTACTTTGAGTTTTCATTGTAGAAAATTTGGAAGAGTAAAAAATCATTAATAATTTCATAAACCAAAGGTACCATTTATTTCCGTGCACTTATATATTTTCTTATTTAAAAATGCTATATTTTCCCATGACAAAAAAATCCCCTTCTAAAACAATATTTATACATAATTTACAGCAATATCTAAAAATATTTTTATAAGTTGCAAATGGTAACAAAATTTCAAACTATGTATGAGAATTCAAAATGGAAAGTAATTTTTTCCCCTGGAAAATATGACATGTATTTTTATGCCACTAACTGTGTTCCACCCCAAAGAAAATATTACTAAAAACAAATTAAGAAGAGAAAGATTGAGAAAAAGAAATGAAATCTTAATAAGAGAAAAAGAGGATGAGAATGAAGATTTAAGTATCTCTATTGAATTTATTTTGAAATGACATCTTTAATCTCTGAGAACTCTTTATTTTTTGATTGCATATTTTTCTTAGCATTGCATCCTCATTTTTTAAATGCAGCTTGTTCTCTAATATTTTTAAAGTTGAAAGTTATTTTCTCTTTCCTTCATTAGCATTGTTTTTTTTTATAGTCAGTCATTTTATTTTTTCATCATGCTTATGAACAAAGAACAAAAAGACACACTTGCTTAGCGGAGGTAACTGAGCTGAATTTTCTTTGTAGGTGTCTAGATCTGTTGAACCAACAAGTTTCTGCCATTCATGGAGAAATTAGTGTGAATATGAGAAGAGAGTGGCCATTGGAAAGCTTTATTTAGGGTGTAAGTTCAGAAAACAGGCAGGCAAGTAGACCAACTCCATCCTGTTTTGTGCCAGTCGAGGCAGCCTTGTTCTGGAGTGCTTCCACCTGCCACGGCCCTCCTCTCTAAGGCCCTACTCTCTTCCAAGTCAGTGGGTCAGTTTCTTTGGATATTAGTTCTTTGGTTTTATCCTGGAAGCAAACATTGAGACTCTCCTAGGAAAGGCAGGAGAGGGGTGAAGAGGGGCCTAATTGTATAGATACTATGTAAACAACCCTTGATTTAATCATCTTGATTTTTGTCCTTCTTCCTAGTTTAAAGGCTCCAAGCTTGGAACGTCTCCTTGGCTTTGTGACTGAGGAAAATGACTCCTCAGGCAGCCTTTTCAAGTGTCCATTCTGCCTTCCCCCTGAGATTTATGAAAGGCTCTGGCTGCCTGGTGCTTCCTTCTCTCCTTCACACCACTGTTATGCACTTACTCTTTTTTGTGCTTCTTTGCTGTCCTTACCTCGAAATATTCTGTCTGCCGTGTTGAAATGGAAGCTTACCACATATTAATGGTTACTTAGTGTTCTATTATATAGATGGACTGTAATTTGCATAAATAAACTCCTATGTCTGGGTAGTTGTATTATTTCAATTGTTTGGTTCTTACTCTTATATATGTGTCAAGGAAGACAAAAATGTTATTTTAAGAGATAGTTGCTAGGTTTTTCTGGGTGTAGCTGAAATAGGCTGGATGAGTCAATTGGATAGCTACACTGTTCTTCATAAGAAATAAGATTTGGGGGAGGAGAGGGTAAATGAGCTGGGGGAGAGAGAAGAAGGTTGGAAGATTGAGGAGTCCCCAGCACAGCCAGAACCGAAGCCTAAGAAACATAGACAGGAGTAGAGGAGACTTTGTCAGGAGAGGGGTGTCAGGTTGGCTGTGCGCTGCAGCCTTGTGCCTCTGTGGCCTCACACCTGCAGCGGAGCCTGCTATTGCAAACCTAGGGAGGGAAGGGGTTGGGCAGTGCCCTGCAGTGGAGGCTGACATGATGCAAAAAAGAAACACTGGGAATGAAGAATGCAGCAATAATACGTACCTGAAACCAGAGGTACTAGAAAAATATAAGCTACTCCCCACCCCCACCCAATACATACCTATGGTTCTCTACAGGCATTGGGAGAGGGACTGGGTTTCAGGAGACACAAGGATTCAGGAGATATCGTACTTGCAGTGCTACTTCCCTATATCACGCTTCTTCCAATCCACCTCAATCTCTTCTTATTTGGGGTCACTGTGTCAGAAAAGCTTTTCCTTTTCATGAGAAAGTTTTCAGGAGGCCTTCAGTGAGTGGGGATGAACTGCTGACCTAACCCTAATTCCACGTATAAGGGCTGAACTTGGCCAAGAGGGTGGCCTGAAGGACCAGGTTCATAGCCTTTGTATCAATTACGAGGCTAGACTGTGGTGAGATAAAGTTCAACTTACAGGAGCTTATAAAAAAGAGGGAGAAGTGATTAGCTGATTTAAATTAAAGTCCTAGGGTAGGCTAGGCTTTAAGAGACACTTAATCTTGTCTCTCCTTTGATTGTCATTCAAGGGTTCAGAAACTGGCTGCAGATGTTCCTGGCCTGGCATGTATACAAAGCAACACCCAGAGCGGGAAGAGAGGACATCTCCCCAGACGTTTCTCTTGAGTGGAAACTTTTCCCAGAAGCCCCAGGAAACCTCTCATAACCTCTCTCATTGGTTACATGTTCATTCTTAAATCAGTCTCTGTTCTCAATGGCTTAGGTGGATCCTGAACCAGACAAGAGATATGGGATCACCACGACTGAGTAGAGCTGGGAGGGGGGAGAATGGATGTTAGGGAGACAGTCTTAGTATAGGCCGGGCTGCCCTCTTCCATCTCTGATACCGGATGATAGGATCTCACCAATTAAATACAACTTTCTTTACCTCCTCTCTCTGATTCCAGGCCTCTAAGATAAAGTGGCGGCAATTAAGCTTAGTTTATTACTCTCCAAGCCCACTACTATTTTCTGACCCCAATAAGTGTTAGTTTCTAGAACTCCTTAGATTCTCAGCGTCAAAATGGTTGTCAAGAAATTCCCATTGTCTCAAAAACTTACCAAACGTTTTTAACCCCATGAACACCACTCTTCATCCTCTGTGTTCCTGGTTGTCTCTGGGATGTTGCCATGACAATCCTATGCCCACTCCTCCATGAAGACTATAGTTTGATAACTACCAGAGGATAGAACCACTTCAATGTTGCTAGATATTAGCAATTGCCTTTAAAAGAGGTTGCACCAATTTATACTCCCACAAAGAAGAAATGGGTGCTTGTTTCCTAACACATCCCTGTCAACATTGTGTATCATCAAGCTTTGTGATCAGTGTGAATTTTATAGATTGAAAACCAGAATTATTAATTTTGTTAAAATCTTGCTCAGCTACAGTACATCTTCAAGTGGTTTGTGTGTATGTAAAGAACCCCTGCCTGAAATATTTTCTAAGCCCTTGTATACCTAGGACTATCTATTGTCTACATGCATGAATGACAAACCCAAAAGTTCTGGGTTTGCAGAATAACTGTATCTTGGTTGTTGAAGAAATTTGTGAGATTAGGCTGGTTTTTATCTTTGTACATAACTTGATATTGTTATGCGTCCTTGAAAATTCTGGGGCCTTTTTCTTATCATTTAGACTTTTCCCAGAATTTATTTATTTTAGGTATAAGAGTGTGTGTGAGTGTGTGTGTGTGTGTGTGTGTGTGTGTGTACACATTAGTTTCTCTCAGGAACATTTCCTCATATTTTAGTTTTATTATTGCCACTGTCTGTTCTTCCTAGTTTCTTCTTCAGTAAAATTCCAGATTTCATAAGTTATACCTTGGCTTGCTGTTTTCTGTGGCTATTTGTCATTTAATATCTGGACCACTTTTTCTTTACTAACTCTCCTAGCATAACACATACCCTTCTTATACATCTTAAAACTTATTAATAAAACACTATAGCATTTTGGTTATTTATTCACATATTTCATTATAAAGACATTTAAAAATGTTATTCTTTGGAGTCATGCATTTAATAAGTACAAAGACAAGACGCTTGCAAAGGCATTCAGTTGTCCATAACTAAATACAAGTTTTGAAGCATATAAGCAGATTTCCCCCAGAGCCCTTCTTTGTCAAAGTCTAGGTTACATGCACAATTCTTATATAAACATATCGAAGTGAGGGATTAAAGGCCAATATGGGTGACATGTGTTTAACATTATACATTGTACCAATTATGAACTTTATTTCAAGATTAAGTAATTAAATGTTAGATAGCCACACAATTCTTGCAAACAATCATTCCTTGCTTCTTATATACCATTGTCAACATTTATAAATAAAAGACTGGCTTTCATGAATCACTAGAGTAGATAATTGTGGGTGAATTGGCCAGAGCAATCATGTGGAAACCAAACCCAGATGAACTCTAGTGTATTTCATAGCTGGAACATAGCAGACAGTCTAAAACAGCAGTTCTTCATCTTGTTGCACATTGGAACCGCTTCAAGACACAGTGCCCACTTCAAGCACGTCCAACAGCCTGGACATACTGACCATACTGTACAATGCATATGCCCTTTGATATAGCAGTTACATTTCCAGGAATCTGCTCCATACACATACTTGCATGCATGCACAAAGATTTATTTTCAAGATATTTATTCATCCAACAATATTCATATATTCAGGGGCAGTGCTGTTCTAAATGCTGGAGATAGTGAAGTGCCTGTTCTGAGGAATATTACTGTCCATGGGAAGATATACATAATAAACACAAGTAGACGTAGTAACAAAAGGTTATAATTGTTAGGCAGGAAATTCAAATATGGTACCCACTGAGACCCTTGGGAACTTCTCTTTCTCACACAGGACTAGGAAGACACTATTTTCGGCTTCTGTCTGCTTTGACTTCCCATGTTATTTCCACTCTACTGTGGAAGCCCATGAGGGGGAAGAACCCCTGTGAGTGTCTCCCCCTAAAATTCCAGGAGAGAGTGGGACTATATCATGGGAAGCAAGGAAATCTTTTTTATTCCTACACTATCCCAACCTTATCTGTGGTTTTTTAAAAAAAAAATTTATTTTTATTCTGGTAAAACACTCATAATAAAATTTACCATTGTAATCATTTTAAAGCACACAATTCTGTGTTATTAAATACATTTACACTGTTGTGCAACCATCACAATCTATCTCCTGAATGTTTTCATCATCCCAAATTAAAAACTCATACCTATTATAACACTAACTCCCCATTTTCCTCACCTCCAGCCCCTGACAATCACTATTCTGCTTTGTGTCTCTATGAATTTGATTATTCTAGTACATCATAAAAGTGGAATATTACAGTATCCATTCTTTTGTGTCTAGCTTATTTCACTTTGCATAATGTCCTCAAGATTTATCCAGGTTGTAGTATATGTCATATTTGTCTTCCTTTTTAGGCCTGAATATTATATGTGTTTGTATTTTGCTTATCTATTTATCCTTAGGTGGACATTTGGGTTGGTTTTGACTGCTTTAATAGTGCTGTTATGCTGTTAGGAACATGGGAGTACAAATATATCTTTGAGATCATGCTTTCAATTATTTTGTAAATGAGTCCAGAAGTGGGATTGCTAGATTATATAGTAATTCTACTTTTAATTTTTATTTTTGTTTCAGGAACTGCCATACCATTTTCCACAGCAGCTATGCCAGTTTACATTCCCACCAACAGGGAAAATGATTCAAATTTCTCCACATCCTCATCAACAATTATTATTTTCTGTATGTTTTTAATAGCAGTCATTCTAATAGGTGTGAGGTGATATCTTATTGTTGTTTTAATTTGCATTTCCCTAATGATGACTGATGTTGAGCATTTTTTTATATACTTGTTGGCCATTTGTATATTTTTTTTTGAGAAATATTCTTTGTCAATTTAAAAAATTGGGTTATTTGATTTTTGTCATTGATTTTATGAGGTTTTTTTTTTTTTAGTGTGTCTTGGATATTAACCCCTTATCTAACATATGATCTAAAAATATTTTCTCCCATGCTCTAGGCTGTCTTTTCATTATGCTGACTGTCTTTTGATGCATAATCTATTGATATATTGATTTATGAGAGAATTATACTAGAGTCTGATCATGATAGAATATTTATTAATTTCTCCTCATAGTTCTCATATTTTGTGTTACTTAAAGTTTTATTGCTGGCTGAGTGAAGTTTTTTATTGATTGCACCTTTAATCAATGGAAAATATAACTTTATTTTCTCATTCTAAAAATGTATTAATAAAATTGAATTTTGTCTGATATTGTATTAACAATTCTACAGTTGCTTTTAAAGTATATTTTAGATTAGAAATATTTTTTTCTCAGAAGTTTGATAAACCTCTATAATGTGTTCTCACACTTGGTATTGACAATAAAAAATCTGCTATCAATCTGAATGTCTTTTTTTATGTTATTTTTTTTTCTTACTGGAAACAGAATTTTCTTGGTAGCTCTGAAGTTATCACTGATGTTTCTACATGCTACATTTCAATAATTCTTTTGCTTTGCTCTAGTGATCTCTTAAATCAGAGAAACCA